GAGAGAGAGAGAGAGAGAGAGAGAGAGAGAGAGAGAGAGAGAGAGAGAGAGCACATGCTAGTACACACACGAACACACAACCGGATGCATTTGACTGCCGTACTGTGACAACAGTTGTGCTGAGAAGTCACGGGTTAGCGACTAAAAACGACAAAGCGGGCTAATTCTGGCTGTGGACAACGTGAAAGGGGCCACGTGTGCTTCTTGGAAAAAGAAGAGGGGTAACCCTAGAGGTTGTTGGAGTGCAGGCTCCGAACTCTTGTGTAGACCATTTTTATTAAGGAGGTACCTTGCCACTTGGTTATGGCACTTCATGTTGAGGTAGATCCTTGGGCATGGATGCTGTTTTTTATCATTTGGGTTAAAGGCCCATCGTCTAAGCCCTGCAACAAGAGGAGGTAATGATGATGATGATGATGATGAGGTTGGGAGGCAAGTATAATTTCTTGAAAATAAACTTGCCAAAGACATCTCCATCATCTATACCTTCTCACCATTTACCTTCTTGTCCTTAAGCTCTTCCACCTTCTATACCTTCTCCCCATTTACTTTTTCGTCCTAAGCTCTTCCACTGCCTTCTTGTGATCAACAACATCGTTCCACCTACCTCTTCGTTCCGCTAGTTCATCCTTGTCATCATCCTCAACAACGCCGCCTTTCTTCGTTCTCCTCGTTGTACTTCAACCACAACAAGGTGGACGATGATGTGAGATACTACTATACATCTGGAGGAGGAGGTTAGCTATGATGATCATCAAGTGGATGTGGTTGTGGTTTGATTGGACAAATGAAGAATCATACAGTATGGCTGCATTGTTTTGAATGCTTTCTCTTCTTGGCAAAACTTTGCCCTGGGTTTCGGGTGGTTAAGTGCGTGCCAAAACTGAAATTGCTACTCCCTGACGCAGATGGTTTCGAATGAACTGCGGTTTCACATGAACTGCTCCCTTGACAATATGTTTGTTAACCAACGTTGATTCTCTTTACCCATTGACCAACATTCATTACTGTGCGGTATTCAGTCTCAGGCTCTTCGTGTGAGGTACTTGTGGCATTTATGCTAAATTTATTGTAAATTGATGTGCTTGTCATTTGATATCAGGGATATCCCTAACATTGATGAAAGTTGATGATTGCATACTGAAGCGCCTTGATGCACAAACACATGCCCCAGGCTGGCAGAATCCCCTGTCCTTCTCGGGTAAGTACAAAATATCAAATTCAACCAGCTTTATTCATCCTTTGTTTGTTTGAAGTTTGAACACTTTAATTGAAAAAAACTTCACGTTGTATTGTTGTGTTCAGCAGCATTTGAAATTTGGGTTGTGAACTGTGTATGTTCAGATCTACCTATGCAATGTGTACCATTTAGCCACTTTGCAGGTACTTCCTCTTTGTTATGTTTCCACACCCCCCCCCCCCCCCCCCCCCCCCCCCCCCCCC